CCTCCTCCTCGTCCTCCTCTTCTCCCTTTGGGAGGGCGGCGCGAGAGCGCGAAGTTATTCGCGCTTCGCGGAGCGCGAAGCGCGAAGTTGGGAGCCCTAGCCAAAGGTGGGGGGGGAGGGGGAGGGGGGGGAGGGGTTGACATGTACCCTGAAGTCGGGCCTGTCCCTCTACAGGGGGAATGTTCAAAAATAGTGAAAAAGTAGTCGGGGAACGATATTGTTCCCCAATCAGCGCTTGCACTGAAGGGGTCCCAGCGGAAGTTGAAGGATTTGGCGAAAGTTCCCCGCCGATTTTGGTGGCAAGTTGGGTTCGGTTCCCGGTTCCGGGTTCCCGGGTTCCCGGTTCCGGGTTCCGGGTGGATCTCGGAGGGCGGCGAGGTTCCCGGGTTCCCGGGTTCTTGGTCGATCTTCTTATCGATCGGTCTCACCATCGATCTCATTACCGTTTTCTCGATCGATCTCATAATCGGTCTCATTATCAATATCACAAGCGATCTCTCTAGAGATCGCATGAGCGATCTCTAGAGAGATCTCATTATCGATCTCAATGAATCGATTTCACTCTCGGTCTCACGATCGACCTTACAATCGTCCTCACTATCGATTCCACGATCGATCTCATTATCGATCTCAAGATCCATCGTATCAAGTTTCAAATAATCCACTGATGGGGGTTTTCTCAGGTGTCATTTCTTTCCGCCCAAAATCCCGCTGTAGGTGGACAGGGTCGAGAGTGTGGGAGGCGGCACCCCCCCGCCCATGGGTCAGGCGATCGCAAACATGGATCAAGGAACAGTGGATTAGCGACGGGTCCCGTTTCCATGGAAAATCGCGGATTGACGCCGCCGAGCGATGCGGCACGGCCAGCATTTTGGGGAGGGCACCTCCCCCGATCCATGGATTAGGCGACCGCGCGCCAAGTCCATGGGTCGCTAATCCATGTTTGCGCGCCCCCGAGTGGGAAAGGGCATGGAGGGGGCACACATCTCACACGCCTGCAACCCTGAGGGGTCGACGAGATCTGAGAACGTCGCCAATGTGGATCTTGCCGATTATCCCACGGAGTGCAAGCCTACGTGTGTATTTTTATATATATATATATATATATATGATTTGGAGAAGCATAGCAGGGCCGTGGCATTGCCCCCCTCTCTTCTCCAGCAACCGTGCAGCAACGACCCGCACAGATACCGAGAGACCGCCGCTTGCGTTCGCTCGACTGTCCCCCCCCCTCCCCTTGCACAGCCCACCTTCCGCGGACACATGCCGCGCCCGCGTGGGGGTGCCGAGGCAGTGGCTCCTCGGCCGCGTCAGCGAGGACCGTGGTGTGGCAGGCAGGGGGCTGTTGCCAGAGGTGTCCCTGGCCCAGGGTGCCGCCTGAGGAGGAGCGACCCCGATATCCTGTCGTCGTATGCTCTTCGCAGCGGGCACTGAGTGCCTTGTCTTGGGCTCCAGTGCTGTCATGGGGTTTATCAGGGGAGGGTCCCCAGGGTCCGAGGCCCGCAGGCCCGCGTGGGCCCCAAGGTCCGCAGAGTTGCGCGAGAAGCTGGGAGCACCTGGGGCCAGGGCCACCTCCGACCGCACCCGAGGGGGGGGGGGCAGGGGGGGCGGCTGCTGAGAGGGGCGCGGCCCCACCTTGCGCTCGGCAGCACGCGTGGGGGCCGCCCTTCTCCTCCTCCTCCTCCTCCTCCTCCTTCTCCTCCTTCTCCTCCTCCTCCTCCTCCTCCCCCCTCGCCCTCCTACGCCTCGCCCTCGCCCTCCTCCTTGCCCTCCTCGGCGCGCAGCGGTCGTATGCGGCGGGTGTGGATTTGAGCAGCTGTCGACGGGGGTCGCGCCCGCCTGCCCGCACTATTGGAGCTCGCAGTGTCCGCGCACGCGCACGGCGCCGACGTTGGCGCGCGTTTTCCGCGCGGCGCCCAGCACGCACAGACGCGCACGCTCGCGCGCACGCGCGCACAGCAGGCGAAGGGCGGCATGGCATGCTCGTTCCCGCCATCGGGGACGCCTGTCCCAGGACGGCTCGGGAGACCACGTCCCCGCCGTGCCGCCGTGGGGCTGTCGAGTGCTCGACCGCCCCGAGGCGGGCGCCCCCCGAGGGCGGCACGGAGACGCGCACCCGCTGGCAGCCTGCGCCCGCGGAGCCGGGGCACGCCGGCGCAGCGGCCGTGCGGCGAGCTGCGCGGTGCACGGGCGCAGTGCGCTCCTCGCGGGCGAAGAGCACATCTAAAACGACGCGAAGATCGGGACAAAATCGGATCGGGATAACTCGAAATCTCTGAGAATCGGCGGGTTTGGAGGATGTATTGGGCGCCGCGGCCGCTCCAGAGCGTTCCAGAACGCTCTGAGAGCGCTCCGGAACGCTCTGGAGCGATTTATCCCGATCCTAGCCTTGTCTTAACATCTGGTTCCGCGGCCTCGCGGGCCAGGCCCGCGATCCCGTCAATGCGGGCGGGCTGGCTTTTTCGAGGATGCCCCCGCGCGGAAAGCGCTCGTGCGACCGCGTATGCGCGGGGTCGCTGCGGAAAGAAAAAATGTTCGGTTCGTGTGCTCTCTCTTGGCCTCTCTTGGGGCCTTCTTGGGGCGATCTTTGGCCGTCTTCGGCCCCTCTTCGGGCTGTCTTGAACCCTCTTGGGCCATCCTAGAACCCCCGTAGGGGCCTGTTGTGCGGTTTCGGTGCGGTCTACAGGGCCTCTTGGGACGTCTTGGAGCGTCGGAAGCTCGAGAAGACGAGAACCCCAGAAACAATGAAAACCTAAGAGAAACAGTTGATTGTTGCCTCTCGGGGCCCTCTTGGGAAGACTCTTAGGCCTCTCTGGGGGCGTCTCGAAGGTCTCTTGGTGCGTCTTGGAGCCATCAAAGGCGTCTTGGGCCAATCGGTCGGCGATCCGGGATCTTGGAACGTCATTGAGGCCGCGGAAGGCAGATTCGGAAGTTTCGGAGTTTCCAGGGGTGCGCCGGAGATCCCGGATACCCTTCCCCCACCCCATCAGAGAGTTTGGACCCTTGGGGAGAGGGAAAAGGGGGAGGGGACTGCCAATCATCTCACACGCCTTCTCACCCCTGGCAAGCGGGGGTCGGCGGATATAAGGGGGACTGATTGGCTTTACGTCCCCAAGCCCCCCTTCGGCCACTTCGCGGGGAAATCAGCTTTCATCAGACCCCCCACCGGTAAGGCGGCGCACCCCAAGGGGAAATGCATCGATGCTATTTTCTTCACACGCCAACTCCCAGTGGGGGGAAACGCCCGGGAAATTTGGCGGCCACTTGGAATCATTTTCGGATTCTACCCCTCCCGCCAGGCAAACAATGTCGGGGAAACGCATGCCGTGGCCGATGTAGAGAATACAGGCATCCACAGCGTGCTTTGTCGTCTTTGTCGTCGTCGTGTCGTCGTCGTCGTCGTCGTCGTCGTCGTCGTCGTCGTCGTTGTCGGTTACGCCAGGCCCCGCCCGCCCCCATCGGCATCCACAGCGTGCGTCGTCGTCGACGTAGTCGTCGTCGTCGTCGTCGTCGTCGTCGTCGTCGTCGTCGTCGTCGTCGTCGTCGTCGTCGTCGTCGTCGTCGTCGTCGTCGTCGTAATCGTCGTCGTAATCGTCGTCGTTCGTCGTCGTCGTCGTGTCGTCGTTGTCGTCGTCCTCGGCGTCGCTGTCGACGTCGTCGTCATCGTCACTCGTCATGGTCGTCGTCGTCGGTACGCCGGGCCCCGCACGCCCCCATGGGCATCCGCCGCGTGCAGCGTCGTCGTCGTCATCGTTGTCGTCGTCGTCGTCGTCCGTCGTCATCGTCGTCGTCCATCGTCGTCGTCGTCGTCGTGCGTCGACGTCGTCATCGTCGGCTACGGATGCCGACGGTGTGCCCTCGCAGCCCCCCCAAGGGTATCCACAGCGTGCGTTGTCGGCGCCGTCGTCGTCGTCGTCGTCGTCGTCGGCTACGACGGACCCTCGCAGCAGCCCCACCCCATGGGGCATCCGCAGAGGCGCTATGTCGTCGTCGTCAGTCGTCGTCGTCCGATGTCGTCCGTCGTCATCGTCGTCGTCGTCGTAGTCGTGGTCCTCGTCGTCGTCGTCGTCGTCGTCGTCGTTCGGGGTAAACGAGGGGTAGCAGTTGTTCAATCCACCTCGCCCGTGCCGTGGAGACGATGTCGGGGAATCCTGGGGCCTGCCCCATCCTGTCCACGCCCGCCGTCCTGTCGGACACCTGCAGGATTCGCCAGAATGCGTCGCAACTTGTGGCAGCATTGTTTTACGTCACCTACCCCGTTGCGAGCCGCCGCGTCCTTGGGGAATGCACCCGAATCGACCAGCCGCCCCTTTTCTCTATGGACCCACCCCAGGCCAGAGAGGTTGCGGGAAGGGGAGGCTTGGACCATTTCAAACAACACCCTTAGTGACCGACTGCCCTGGGGAAGGGTCCCATTGTGTATTCTACGAGGGTTGATGTATACGAGGACGCTTTCTTGGGGACCGCCTCTTCTGGGGAACAGGGGTGGACGTGCAGGTTACCCCCCTTCTTACTCCTTGTCTGAAGGTTCTTATCCGACGCCGCATACCTTGAAACGTTGCAAGTCGTACGCCGCAGGGGTGCCAATTCGACCTCCTCTGTAGCCTGCGGGAGAGGCCCGAGTGCACTGCGCACGAGCTCGTGTCGAACGCGCTCGAACTGCGCACGCACGCGGACTCGCACACGCACACGCACACACACACACACACACACACACACACACACACACACGTCGTTTTTTTCAGGGAGGCGCTGGGCCCTCGTAGTCAGAAGGCCGCCCCCGCCCGACCCTGGCCTTCGGTCGGGCCTGTCCCTCGACAGGAGGAACATTTAAGATGGTCAAAGAGAACTGTCTGGAGACGATTTGTTTGACCATTTGTGAGCATGTTTGGAATCTGTGCTTACTATTTCTTGTTTTTCGTCCAGAATCCCCCTCCCCTGTAGGCGGACAGGCCCGACCTACCTAACCCTGGCCACCCTTGCGCGCGCTGCCGCACCAGGACCAGACGAAGATGGGCGTCAACGTTCTGGTCCTGAATTGCATCCACTTCCAGGTGTCCAAGCACCGGCTGACTCCGAACAGCTTCGCGTTCGACAGCGAGAGGGGCCCCCGCCGGGGAGACGAAAGTCTGCTGCTTCGCCTGCCTTCTCCTCTCGGGGGAGCGTAAGACCCGGGTTTGCCAGGACTCGGGTTCGCCATCGTTTTTTGACGACCGCGCCTCGGATTTTGACGAGGAGGAGTTTCGTTGGATGTCTGCAGCGGGAGGCCTCGTCAAAATGCAGGCTCGGCCTCATCATTTTTTTGACGACCTCGTCGGGGATTTCCGAGTCCCCCGTACCCGGGTCTTACGTCTCCCCGATCCTCGTGTGGTCCCCTTCCTCCTCCCCATCCTGTCCCCTCCTCGCCCCCGTCCCCCTCCCCCAGGGCGTCGGGGGCAACGATAGGGGGGGATAGGCATACAGTCGGGCCGAGGTGTAAGATCGAGGTCGGTTCGGGGAGGGTACCCTAGTGTTCTTCGTGTTGGTTGGATGTCCTTGTGCATCCTGGGGAGGGTACCCTTGGATGTTCTGTGCGTTTTGGCCGACGGAGGGTCTCGTGTTCTTGACGGATGTCCTTCTGGCCCAGGTCCGACTGTAGGGGGGGATGCATCGACCCTCCATCGGCCATGTCTCGCCGATAGGTGCGCCGATGGCCCCAGCTTGCCCCGGAGCGTGTGGATGCACCATCGGGGACCTCTCGCCGACCTCTCGGCGAGGCATCGCCGATGCCAGGCCGACGCATCCCCCCTGTGCCTATGCTCAGGAGGGAAAAAAACACACAGACACAATTAATCCTCGATTCCCAGGAAAATATACAAAAATATGGGAATTGGGGGGGAAGACAAAAACCCAGAAAATATGAGAAAATATGGGGACTATTTTTATTTGTGTGTATGTATTTGTGTGTCCCAATTTCCCTTTATATGCCCCCCTTTCGTTGCCCCTCGGGACGCCCGTCCGACTCTCTGACCCCCTCCCATTCGGCTGGCCGCGGGCACGGCGCCCACGGCCCGGATCCAGCGCCCAGCGCATCCACATCGGATGGCGCGCTCCGGGGCCGGCCATGCGCGGAGGCCAGCCCGCGTGCGCCAGCACCGCCTCTCGGACGCCCCTTCACCCACACACACACAAGCAGTGGCGAAGCGTTCTGGCGTGCCTATAGGCCTACCAGACAATGTTCTAAGAACCTCTTGTGGTCTGCACGAGATCTTCTCAGAACAGCTTCCAAGGCTGTTTTGTTTTACCACATCGGGTCTGTGTTCTAAGAACATTGTTCTCGTGATTAGAACGTTTGGGGGTTCTAGGAGTATTTCGTGGTAGGCCTATAGGAATGCCAGGACAGTCGCTCCCTGCTCTACACACATACATGTGTATGTGTATATATACACGCGTAAACATACATTATTTGAATCACTTCGCTCACTCCACCAGCCGATCCAGCGGCGATGAGCCGCCGACTTCAGGTCGATGTTTCCCCCCCCCCGAGCTGGTCCCCCCTTCGGCGGCGAGCCCGGGGGAGAAGTGAGAAGGGGTGGGCCTTCCGAGAAGGCCCGGCAGCCCCCAACCTCGGAGCAGCTTTCTGCGCCTTCCCCGAAGACGCGGAACACCTCCCAGAAGGCGCGAGGGCTTCCGAGAAGTCCCGCCGCCTTCCGAGGAGGCCTCCTCCTTTGCTCACCTCCCAGCCTCGCTCGCCGCGCCCACCCCTGACGACGCCGCCGCCCCCCGTGCTCCGCCTCCGTGGCCACTTCCTGCTCGGAGCACCGCACCCGCCGTGGCCCGGCTGCGGGCGATGGCCGACGGCGGGGCAGCCTGGGGGAGGGAGAAGCGACGCCACCACCACCACTCAGGAGGGAAAGAAACACACAGACACAATTAATCGTCGACTCCCAGGAAAATATACAAAAATATGGGAATTGGGGGGGAAGACAAAAACCCAGAAAATATAGGAAAATATGGGGACTATTTTTATTTGTGTGTATTTATTTGTGTGTCCCAATTTCCCTTTAACCACGAGGGGGGCCACCTCTCCATCAGGCGATCGCAGACATGGGCCAGGTCGGGGGCGGCAAAAGAGGGGGGTGATGACTAGGGGGGGGGGGGATATCATGGCGCGGGCCACGATTTTTCCCCAGATTTCACGGCGCCTCTTCTTATTTCATTACGTCCCTGGTCCCCCCGCTGGGCCGCGCACATGCCGCCGGCCATGATTTGCACCCCCCCCTCTTGGACACCCCCCTCTTTGCCGCTCCCGATCAGGGGGGCGTGGACTAGCGACGGGTCCCGTGTCCATTGGGAACCTCGCATCTCCGCCACCGAACGAGACAGCACCGGCTGTATGTTGGGGAGGGCACCTCCCCCGATCCATGGATGAGGCGACCGCGCGCCAAATCCATGGATCGTTACTCCATGTTTGCGCGCCCGCGACTCCAGCCAGGAGGTCCACGAAGCCTCCCCGAGCTGGGGATGGTGGATTCCAGGCCTCCTAGATGGGGTCGGAGCAGATGGGGGCGGAGGATCGCGCCGCATCGCCGATGCATCGCCGATGCGGCTCGATGTGGGGCCCAATTTTCTCCATGCCGACGAGGAAGATGCATGACCGACGTCGCCTGTGCATCGCCGATGCATCTTGGTTCTCCCGCTGGCGGTCCCTGGTCAGGCGATCGCACACATGGATCAAGGGGGCGTGAATTCGCGACGGCTCCCGTTTCCACTGGAAATCGCGGATTCCCGCCGCCGAGCGAGGCGGCGCCGGCCGCATTTGGGGGAGGGCACCTCCCCCGACACATGGAGTTGCCACATCCATGGGTCGCCAATTCTTATCTGCGCGCCCCCGCTGGTGGTCCCTGGTGGTGTCAAACGACGCGAAGATCGGGACAAAATCGGATCGGGATAACTCGAAATCTCTGAGAATCGGCGGGTTTGGAGGATGTATTGGGCGCCGCGGCCGCTCCAGAGCGTTCCGGAACGCTCTGAGAGCGCTCCGGAACGCTCTGGAGTGATTTATCCCGATCTTAGCCCTGTTTTATAGTGATGGTGCTGCTGCTCGTGGCTCCCAGGCCGGCGCCGAGGCCGCCACCGCGGCACGGCCGCAGGCGCCTTTGGGCGGCGGCGGCCTCGCCGCGCAGCTGCGGGCGGAGTTCCCGCGGGTCTGGGCGGCCGTCAGCTCGCGCGGCGGCGAGGAGCCACGGAAGGCCTCCGTGTGGTACGTCTGGCACCCGTGCCCAGACGTGCCGGCGTCGGGTGATGGGCTTGTTTGTCCACCACCACCACCAGAAGTTGGAGGGTGGGAGGAGGAGGAGGAGGAGGAGGAGGAGGAGGAGGAGGAGGAGGAGGAGGAGGAGGAGGAGGAGAGGAGGAGGAGGAGGAGGAGGGAGGAGGGAGGAGGAGGAGGAGGAGGGAGGAGGAGGAGGAGGAGGAGGAGGAGGAGGAGGGGAGGAGGAGGAGGAGGGAGGAGGAGGAGGAGGGGGGGGGGGAAGGAGGAGGAGGAGGAGGAGGACCTCCCCGTTCTCCCGTCGCCCCCGTCCTGCCTACGTATGGTAGCGGTGGTGGAGAATTGGCCCATCGACCCGCACCCGGTCCCAGGCATGCTAGCGTCGGGTGCGTGTCAGGAGACGTGTGTCATCGTTGTCTTATTCCGTGTTTTTTCGAAGAAGGAAAAACGACATAAACATAATTTTTTGGAGCCCCACGCGGATTTCTTGGATCCGCACTGGGCCCCACTGGCGGCGCCTCTGGCGCCGCCCCTAGCGCGCTCCGCGCGCCAGGGAGGGGGGCACACCGCAGATCCAAGAGATGTTTATGGCGTTTTTTTCTTCTTCCACTAATCGTTGTCGTATTCAGTGTTTTGCCGATCGGCACGGGCCATCGCACCCCCTCCCCCGCCCCCAGTGGAGTAGATCTTGGCTGTGTTGGCGCCTATTTCAAGCAGGTGGAGTCTCCCCCATAGGACGCACGGTTCCAAACAGTCGCACTAAGCAGAGGTCCGGAGCCAGACCCCCCCCCCACTTCCCCCCTCCTTCCGCCCAATGTCGAATCGCCGAATAAGAAGTTGGCCTCTAGGGGGCCCTTCTACTGGGCCCCAGGGCCAGGATGAAAAACCGGTCCCGGTGAAAGAGTCGGCATTTCCGCGGACCATGTCTTGAAAACAACCAGGGCACCGCATGTTTGGGTTTCATGTGAGAGGTGGGAGTCGCTTCTTTCCCCGCTGGCACCAGGCGTTTTCTGGCCGGGGGGCGGGGCCCAGGATCGACCTCCACAGCTGTCGGTGCGGCTCGAGAGGTGCTGCAGAGCGGTGGGGTCGGCGGCTCTGGCCGTGGTTTCTCGCGATGATGCAGTTGTTGTTGTCGCGGCGTCGGATCTCAAGGTTTAGCGGACCTCGCCGTGACGCAAGCGGGTCCTGAGGGAAGCGGGTCCTGAGCGGCTTTGCCGGTCTCGTGCCCACGGGGCCTTCTCCCCAGGCCCCAGGGCCATCCCAGAAAAGCCCTGGGATACAGGACCCGTGTCCGTCGGAGCTGCTTTTCCGTAGCAGACCACCATGCAGCGGAGGACAGGCGGTATAACATGATATGGTATTGTTCTGCCCTCTGGGGCGCCGGTCCCAGGGCGGCTGGACAGCTCGTACCCTTGCGGTTGCACGCCAGGGTAGACACTTCCCAGCCGGCTTGGGACCGGCGTCCCGATGGTGGAATCTATGATGTGTCGTCTTTCGTCCGCCGAGCGATGCCTGGCCAGGGCCATCCTGGGCCCTGGAATAATCAACGCCCTCCCGCCCTTGGCTGGCAGGGCTCGGCGCACTCACCATGTCCGGGCCGCACAGAGGCCTCCCGCGATGGCGAGGAGGTGCTGCCGCGGCAGCTGGCTTCCTACCTCCGGGGCTGCGGGCTGCCGTCCTCGGAGGGCCAAAACAGCTGCAGGAGCGTGCCCCTGCAGGGGTCCAAGCGGGCTTCGCCAGGTCGGCGCTGGCCTCCCCACGCCCCCTCTCCCCCCCCGCGCCCGCCCGGCCCGCGCCAAGGAAAGGGTTAAATCGGGCGTGTCCTTCTACAGGAGGGACATGCAAAAATAGCAAAACATATGATGCGGACGATGATTTTGTTATTAGGTTTGGCATGCTCTGCTTATGTTTTGATTGTTTAAACTCATCGTCCAAAGGGAAGGGGAAGGGCTGGGCGGCGACCGCGCTCGCCCGGCCCGCGCCGAGGACATGGTGTTCGACCAGTGGCGAAGCTTCCCTGGCTTGCCTATAGGCCCGCCGAAGAATGTTGTAAGAAGCTTTTGTGGTCTACAAGAGATGTTCTTGTAACATTTCTGGCCGAGGCTGCCTCGTGTGAGCGCATCGGTCTTGATTTCTAAGAGCAGCGTTTCTGCTCTAAAAACATTGTTGGGTTCTACGAGCATCTCGCGGTAGGCCTATAGGATAGGAATGTCGGGACGGTCGGTCCTTGCGCAGGGTGTGGAAAGGGGCGGGTGCAGCGCCGACCGCAGAAGCCCGCGTGGACCCCCGGACGTTGTGTGCCTGCGCTTCCCAGAAGTTTCGGAGACTGGAGCACGTTTCATTACCAGTGGCGGGCTCAGGACTCCTCGAAGGTCGGGGGCGACGTCGGGGTGGTGTAGTGCATATTGTGTCCCAACCCTCATTGGTTGGGTATTCGTTTTGAATAGACTTCTGCTTGCGCGCCCTTCCTTCCTTCCTCCCGCCTACCTATTGTCTCCTCTTGCCTTGTGCGTACCTCTTGCGTGTGCATCCTGCCTGCGGTACCTCTTGTGTGTGCATCTTGCCAGGGGGGCTGCGATCTGCGAAACCGTCGCCACTTGCGAGGGCTGCTGGTGGGTCCAGCGGAGTGAGGCACCGCGCAGATCTGAGCGGGACCTCGCCGTCCCTGGGGGGCTGCGATCTGCGAAACCGTCGCCCCTTTCGAGGGCTGCTGGTGGGTCCAGCGGAGTGTTGCACCGCGCAAATCTGAGCGGGACCTCGCCGTCCCGGGGGGGCGACGATCTGCGGCGAAACCGTTGCCATTTTCGAGGGCTGCTGGTGGGTCCAGCGGAGTGGGGCACCGCGCAGATCTGAGCGGGACCTCGCCGTCCTTGGGGGGCTGCGATCTGCGAAACCGTCGCCCCTTTCGAGGGCTGCTGGTGGGTCCAGCGGAGTGAAGCACCGCGCAGATCTGAGCGGGACCTCGCCGTCCCTGGGGGACTGCGATCTGCGAACCGTCGCCCCTTTCGAGGGATGCTGGTGGGTCCAGCGGAGTGAGGCACCGCGCAGATCTGAGCGGGACCTCGCCGTCCCTGGGGGCTGCGATCTGCGAAACCGTCGCCACTTCGAGGGTTGCTGGTGGGTCCAGCGGAGTGAGGCACCGCGCAGATCTGAGCGGGACCTCGCCGTCCCTGGGGGGCTGCGATCTGCGAAACCGTCGCCCCTTTCGAGGGCTGCTGGTGGGTCCAGCGGAGTGAGGCACCGCGCAGATCTGAGCGGGACTTCGCCGTTCCTGGGGGGCTGCGATCTGCGGCGAAACCGTTGCCATTTTCGAGGGCTGCTGGTGGGTCCAGCGGAGTGAGGCACCGCGCAGATCTGAGCTGGTCCTCGCCGTCCTTGGGGGGCTGCGATCTGCGAAACCGTCGCCACCTTCGAGGGCTGCTGGTGGGTCCAGCGGAGTGAGGCACCGCGCAGATCTGAGGGGGACCTCGCCGTCCCTGGGGGGCTGCGATCTGCCGCGAAACCGTCGCCACTTTCGAGGGCTGCTGGTGGGTCCAGCGGAGTGAGGCACCGCGCAGATCTGAGCGGGACCTCGCCGTCCTTGGGAGGCTGCGATCTGCGAAACCGTCGTCACTTGCGAGGGCTGCTGGTGGGTCCAGCGGAGTGAGGCACCGCGCAGATCTGAGCGGGACCTCGCCGTCCCTGGGGGGCTGCGATCTGCGAAACCGTCGCCCCTTTCGAGGGCTGCTGGTGGGTACAGCGGAGTGAGGCACCGCAGATCTGAGCGTGAGCTCGCCGCCACCGAAGCCCCCAGTGCTACCGCCCGCATGCGTCCCCCCAACCCAGTACAGCTTGTCGTGGCCCCGTATGGAGCTCCACCGACGGCCCCAGTGCTACCGCCCGCATGCGCCCTCCCCACCCAGAACAGCGCTTCGTGGCCCCAGAGGGAGCTCCACCGAAAGCCCCGGTGCTACCGCCCGCATGCGTCCCCCCACCACCCACTACAGCGCTTCGTGGCCCCATAAGGAGCTCCACTGACGGCCCCAGTGCTACCGCCCGCATGCGTTCCCCCCCACCCAGTGCAGCGCGTCGTGGCCCCATAGGGAGCTTCACAAAAGAGGTTATTCACAAACGCGGTACCCACAACTGCATATGGTTGGGTCATTCGCCTGGATAATTTTCATTGAGCCCAAGAACCATTGAACAGCCTGCGAACAACCTCCCAGTTGGAGATGTTTTTTCTGGTGTTTCCCCCGTCGGAAAAAAAAACACCAGGAAACTCCGAAAACCCTCAGAAAGACCACCGTGTTGGGGGTTTTGCAAGGGTTTCTCTGGGGGGGGGGTCTGAAATACTTCCCAACCATCCTGTGGTGTTGGGTCCTCGCTTTGAAGAGACAGTCCCCGCGTCCCTCCTCCCTCCTTGCTTCCTCCCCCTCCTCCCCCTCGTCCATGCGTTTCACCCACCCCGTACAACGTTTCGTGGCCCCACGGGGAACTCCACCGAAGCCCCCACTGGGACCGCCCGCGTGCGTCCCGGAAACCCAATTTGGCATTTTCGCACACCCAGTACAGCACTTCGTGGCACCATAGGGAGCTCCACCGAAGCCCCCACTGGGACCGCCCGCATGCGTCCAGGAAGCCCATTTTGGCATTTTCACCCACCCAGTACACCGCTTCGTGGCCCCATAGGGAGTTCCACCGAAGCTCCCAGTTGGACCGCCCGCATGCGTCCTGAAAACCCAATTTGGCATTTTCGCCTACCCAGTACAGCGTTTCGTGCCCTATCAGGCCGCATGCGTCCCGGAAACCCAATTTGGCATTTTCACCCATCCAGTACAGCGTTTCGTAGCACATAGGGAGCTCCACCGAAGCCCTCAGTGGGACCGCCCGCATGCGCCCAAGAAACACAATGTGGCATTTTCGCCCACCCAGTACAGCGCTTCTTGGCCCCATAAGGAGCTTCACCGAAGCTCCCAGTGGGACCGCCCGCGTGCGTCCTGGAAACACAATTTGGCATTTTCACCCACCCAGTACAAAGCGTCGTGGCCCCATAAAGAGCTCCACCGACGGCCCCAGTGGGGTCGCCCGCATGCGTTCCCCTCACCCAGTGCAGCATTTCGTGGCCCCACAGGGAATTCCACCGAAGCCCCCAGTGGGACCGCCCGCGTGCGTCCTGGAAACACAATTTGGCATTTTCACCCACCCAGTACAAAGCTTCGTGGCCCCATAAAGAGCTCCACCGACGGCCCCAGTGGGGTCGGTCGTCCGCATGCGTTCCCCTCACCCAGTGCAGCATTGCGTGGCCCCACAGGGAATTCCACCGAAGCCCCCAGTGGGACCGCCCGCATGCGTCCCGGAAGCCCAATATGGCATTGTTACCCACCCAGAACAGCGCTTCGTGGCCCCATAAGGAGCTCCACCGACGGCCCCAGTGCTACCGCCCGCATGCGTTCCCCCCCACCCTGTGCAGCGTTTCGTGGCCCAAGGGGAGCTTCACCGAAGAAGATATTCACAATTGCGGTACCTACAACTGCATATGGTTGGGTCCTTCGCCAGAATATTTTTCCGTTGGGGGACAGAACCTTCGAACATCCACAGACAAACTCTTGAGCCGGGTGGTTTTTCAGAGGTTCCCCACCCGAAAAAAAAAAAACATTTGAAAAACATTAAACAATTTCCGGAAAACATCCAGAGTTGGGAAGTTTCCCGAAGGTTTTTCTGAAATAGTGTTGTTTTCTATTTGTAGTGCCCCAGGACCACCAAAAACCAATTAGTAACCCCTGAATTGGGTATCTTTTTCTGGGGGTTCTCCCCGCGGAAATACATCAAAAATATGAAAACTTCCGAGTTGGAGTGTTTTTCTGGGTTCCCCTCCCCCTGGACAGAAAACAAGAGAAACACCCGAATTAACCCCGAGTCGGGGGGGTACCGGGAGGGTTAGCCCGAATTGCGATTTGAAGGGTTTGCCCAATCGTTCCCGGGAAACCCTCGAAACACAACAGAAACACCCATGATGGTATTTGTTTCTGTGTGTTTTCGGTGTTTTTTCTTGTGCTTGCTTGTTTTTTTTTGTGACGTTTTTATATCATGCTGTTTTTACTTAATCGGGCCACAGAAACTTCCCCCAAAAAAAGCCCTCCGAGCTCCCCAATCCCCCGGGTTCCGGGGGGAAGAACTCCCGAACAAAAACCCATCTCGGGCTTTTGTTCGGGGGGTTTCCCGGGGGGGGTCCGGAGCCCCCCGGGGGGGATCCAGACCCACACCGGACTCGGCCAGTGGGGTCCAGGCCACGCCGGTGGGTCACTCTCAGGGGCGCGAAGGTAACAGCGGCTGCCCTCCTCTCCCAGGGGGTTGGCCGGTGGGCCCAGGGGCGAGAGGGCGCGAAAAGCACCTCGCGCGTCGCGCAGCGTTGGCGCGATGCTCGACGTCAGGTGGCCCAAGTGCCGCTCTTTGGCCGTCTGCGTCTGCGCCGTCGGCAGCGGTCGACGCCTCGCTCGGAGTCCTGCTCGCCTACCTCCGCGGCGACGGCGGGGGCCTGGAGGTCCGGGCCTCGCTGATCCCCGGGGCGGGGCGGGGCCTCTTCGCGGCGCGCGCCTTCGGGGAGGGGGACCTGCTCTGCGTGTACTCGGGGACGCCCGTGCCCCTCGCGCAGGTCGTGCGCCGCGAGGTGAGCACGGACTACCTCATGGGCGGTTTCGGCCTCTACAGCGTCGACGCCTCCGCCCACCCCGAGGTTCAGGGGCAACTCACCAGCCTCGAACGTATCCCTATCCCTAAGGTTGACACGCGAAAAGGAGATGACAATCTTAGGGATGCACCCTCAGAAACTGAGGAAATCCCTAAGATCGCCATCGTGATGAGGCGATGCCCAACATAGGGATAGGGATATGCTTCAGGCTGGTAAGCAAGATGGGACGAGGAGGAGGAGGAGGAGGAGGAGGGAGGAGGAGGAGGAGGAGGAGGAGGAGGAGGAGGAGGAGGAGGGAGGGGAGAGGAGGAGGAGGAGGAGGAGGAGGAGGAGGAGGAGGAGGAGGAGGAGGAGGAGGAGGAGAGGAGGAGGAGGAGGAGGAGGGAGGAGGAGGAGGGAGGAGGAGGAGGAGGAGGAGGAGGAGGAGGAGGAGGAGGCTGTCTGTTCATAGGGGGGGGGGCACGCCCGGGGGGACGCACCGAGGCCCCCCCGCCGCCCGCCGAGGCCGCCCCACACGGGCCCGACAGCCCGGCCCACCGGCGACGCACCGCCGATTCCCGCCCGGCGTTTCCCCCCCGAGCCGCCCCCCTATCGGGGGAGCGTAAGACCCGGGTTTGCCGGGACTCTCAAACCCAGGAGCCCTCCCAGGAGCTCCGATCCCCTGAATCCCCCCAAACTCCAAACATCCAGATGAAAACGCCTGGGTTCCTCGCCTCCTCCTCCCAGAAACACGAGGTCTGCGCTGCCGGGGGTGTGGGAACCCTGTGCTTCCTCATCTGGATACTTTCGGGGGAGCGTAAGACCCGGGTTTGCCGGGACTCGGGTTCGCCATCGTTTTTTGACGACTGCGCTTCGGATTTTGACGAGGAGGAGTTTCGTGGGACGTCTGCAGCGGGAGGCCTCGTCAAAATGCAGGCTCGGCCTCGTCATTTTTTTGACGACCTCGTCGGGTCTTACGTCCGGGTCTTACGTCTCCCGTACCCGGGTCCCCCGTACCCGGGTCTTACGTCTCCCCGACCCTACCCCCCTACCGTTCCCCCTCAGAGGTCCTCGCCAGGTACATCAACGATCACCCCGAGGGTGGGAGGCGGAACGCGCGGCTCTCGACGGAGAGACAGAACGACAGGAGCACATGCTTGCGGAGGTCTGGCGCAGCCCACGGGGCGCTCCGCGAGCCAGGGAGGGTGGTCAGCGCCGATCCACCAGTCCACGCGGACCTCCGAAAGTGTGTGCGTAGGCAGCTCTTCTTTCTTGCAGATGTGATGATACGTTCCAAGATGTCCAGGATTCCCCAGATCCACTTCCAATGCTCCACACGGCTGGCAGAAGCAATGGCTGCTGGATGCTCTGGGAATATTGAGAACGTCTGCTGAGCCAGCCCTGTCATGATGCCAGTCTCCTCCTGCCCTAGGTTCGTGAAGCTCAAGCAGCAGCGCCGCGCCCTCGTGCTCGCCTCGCGGGCCATCGCCGCCGGCGAGGAGATCTACGCGGGGTACGGGGAGGGCTACTGGCGCGCCCGCCCAGGCGCCATGGCCGCGGCGGGCGGCGCGGAGGCTGCCGCCAGCACCAGGCCAGGCCGTGAGCACGGGCGCCTCTGCGACGACGCGGCGGCCCCGCGCCCGGCAGAGGAGCCCCCCGGCGCCGCGGGGCCTTGACGCCGCGACGGGCTCCGGAGAATGCGACGCCGACGCGCGCCTCGCCGCGGAGGCCAGCGAGGCTGTAGCGAGGGCGATCGGCACGGCCCCGGAGGGGCGGGGTCCCGGAGGTTTGGAGCCGTCTGCGGCCCAGCCCTGATGGTCCGCTACCGAAAATTTCCGGTAGCGCTCCGCAGAGATCGGTCGCTACCGAAATACCGAAATGTAGCGCCCAATACCGGTATCAGAGCGTTCTGAAACCCGCTATCTCAACGCCCTCGAACGAAGATCCGGTCGCTACCGAAATTCGGGGTGCGCCGAAATCGCTACCGAAAATTTCCGGTACCAGACCATCTGGGAGGAGCCTGTCACACCACGCCACGGCCAGCCACCGGGGCGACCCCCGCCCGAAGGTCGGGCCGGGCGGCCTGCTGGGGCCGCGCCGGCGCCGGGCCTCCCGGGGAGGGGGCGCCGCGCCTCTCGGAGGACGCCGCCGCCGCGGAGGGCCCTCCCGCGCCCGGGGGGCCGAGACCGACGCGCCGCGCCAGCCGCTGGAGCGCTGCGCGCCCGAGGAGGAGCCGAGCGCAGCCTATCACCGCTGGCCTCGCCGGGCGGCCCCAGGCGGCCTCCCCAGGCGGCGCGCGCGGCCTCCTCCTCCTCCTCCTCCTCCTCCTCCTCCCCTCCTCCTCCTCCTCCTCCTCCTCCCTCCTCCTCCTCCTCCTCCTCCTCTCTCCTCCTCCTCCTCCTCCTCCTCCTCCTCCTCCTTTCGGCGGCGGGCGGGCCTTTGCAGGCGCCTCGGGCGCGCTCGACGCAGGCGCGGCCTCCCTTCGGGGGTGGACAGAACCCCCAACAGTGACACGTCGATGAGTGCATTGTCCGTTTTCGGTGCTCGAGAGGGCGCCGCGGCCGCTACTTTCCAGGCCTGCGCCCGCCACGTTTGGGCCTCGGGTCGTTTTCACGAAACCACGCTTTACTAAAGGGGGGTCTGTCCATCCCCGATCCCTGGGCGGCGACGCCAGGCGCCCGGCGCAGCCGCCCGGGGAGGGCGCTGTCTCGGCCGACCCGCGGCCGACCCGCGCTGCGTGCCGGAGTGGCCGGCTCTGGCGGGCGGCGCGCAGAGGGGGGTAGGGGGAGGGGGGAAGGCTTCTTAGAAGCACCCCTGCTTCTCAGAAGGCGCGGGCCTTCTCTATAGACGTAAGACCGAGGCCTTCTGAGAAGCAGGGTGCTTCTAAGAAGCCTTCCCCCCTCCCCCTACCCCTCAGCCTCTTGCGCGCCGCCAAGCTCTGGCGGGCGGCCTGCCGGCGAAGGCGATCTCGCTGATTGCACGGTGGCGGGCTCGGCGTGGCAGGTCCGCGGGCGTCCAACGGAGGCAACGGTCTAGGCCTCCCAGCAGATGGCGTCCGAGTGGATGGGCTCGATGCGGAGCTCGATTCTCTCCACGCCGACGTCGCCGATGCGTCGCCGACGGCGGTGCATCGACGGTGCATCGCCGATGCGTTGGCGATGCGGCGCAATCCGCCGACCCCTTCCACTCGGACGGGGGGAAGGCGCCGGGCCCCGGATCGCCCTGTCCGCCCGCCGAGTCATGGGCTCCCTCTACCGCGCAGGAGCCCGCGCTTGCGCCATCGAGGGCGCATCGCCGAGATCTGGCGGCGACGCATCGCCGATTCCGAGTCAATGTTTCCACACACGAATTCAGTGCCCCCCTCCCCCCGTGTCGGCCGTCAGTCCAGGTTTAAGTCGGGCACGTCCCTCTACAGGAGGAAGATTCAAAATTAGTCAGAACAATTGTCCGGGGACGATTTGCTTTCACAACTTTTGACACGTTTGGAATGCTTTGTGAGTATGTTTTATATGTTGTCCGAATTCCGCCTGTAGGGGGACGTGCCCGGTCCAGGGCGACCTCACCGCACGGCGGCGCTGCCTCGGCCGCGGCGCCAGGAGGAGTTGGCAGAGGGGGCCGAGTAGCCGGCCTATGGCGCCTGGGACGAGCACACAGACCGGCCCGCCGCTTGCCGCGGGCTGCCGTCGGGGTCAATGCAGACGGGGGTCAGCCAGGGCACTGGGTCCTGCAGGATCCTGCGAAGACCCCCTCTGGCTGACCCGGGTTAGCGAGCAGCTCGTGGCCGCGAGGCGGCCGCGCATATTGGTTGACATGGGTTTGCGATGACCTGCGTTGCAATTTTTGTTGTCCTGCATTCAGTTGTGGGGTTTCCTGCTGACCTGGGTGTGGATTGGCCCAGGCCAGCAGACCCCCGAGGGCTGCCGCGAGAGCGAAGGATCTCAGCGTGTCGTGGCGGCGAGCAAGCTTGTAGGCTTAAGTCCGGCGTGTCCCCCACTCTCGGCGAAAAATAAAAGAAAGACCCAAAATACCCCCAAATGGTCAACAAATGCTAAAAAAACAGAGTTTGTTTCACTATTTTTGAACATTCCCCCTGCAGAGGGACAGGCCCGACTTAACTGTAGGCTTCCCAGATGGGGTCCGAGCAGATGGTGACGAACGAGCAACACACACCCATACCCATAAGGGGGTCGTTGGGAGGAGGACTGGCTATGGGTATGGGTGCGGGTTGTCAGACCCTGGGGAACGCTCCCGTTCGAGCGGGGACCCCCATCCGACAACACGCACCCGTAGCCCTCTCCGACCCCTCTATGGGTATGGGTGTGTGTTGTTGGTTCGTCAAGATGGGGGGGTGCAAGAGGATCGCGCCACGTTGACGGCACATCGTCGGGGGAGCGTAAGACCCGGGTTTGCCAGGGTTCGGGTTCGCCATCGATTTTTGACGACCGCGCCTCGGATTTTGACGAGGAGGAGTTTCGTGGGATGTCTGCAGCGGGAGGCCTCGTCAAAATGCAGGCTCGGCCTCGTCATTGTTTGACGACCTCGTCGGGGATTTCCGAGTCCCCTGTACCCAGGTCTTACGTCCCCCTGACATCGCCGATGCGGCTCGGATGCGGAGCCCGCTTTTGTCCGCGCCGACGTCGCCGATGCGTCGCGCACGCGCCGGCGATGCATCGGCGATGCGGCGCGATGCGTCCCCACGTACTCTCGGACCTCCTTCGGGAGGCCTCCAAAGGAGGGAGGTGCAGAGTGTGCCACCGTCGGATCGAAGAAACAGTTCAGAGTAGACAGACTCGGGGGTGGACATAACCCCCAACAGTGACACGTCGATTAGTGAATTTGCCGTTTTCGGTTCTCGAGAGGGCGCCGCGGCCGCTATTTTCCAGGCTTGCGCCCGCCAGATTTGGGCCCGAGGTCGTTTTCACTAAACCACGTTTTACTAAAGGGAGGCCTGTCCATCCCCGAGGGGGGTGCAGAGTGTGTGCCACCGTCGGATCGAAGAAACAGTTCAGGATAGGCAGACGTTCGGAGGCGCGTGCGGACTTCTCGGATCGGCCCGGGGCCTCCTTGGAGGGTCCCGCGCCTGCCCAAGAGATCCGCACGGACCTTCGAATGTTTCTATGTTGAAACACGCAGTTTATTTGTTCTCATACATTTAGAATTAAGTCGGGCCTATCCCTCTACAGGAGGAATATTCAAAAATAGTTCTCAACACAAGTCTGGGGACTATTTTTTGAATATTGCTTGACCATATTGAAGTATTGTTTGAATATTTCCCAACCATCCTGTGGTGTTGGGTCCTCGTTTTGAAGAGACGTCGCCCCGCGTTCCTCTCCTCCTCTCCTCCTCCTCCTCCCCCTTCCTCTCTCCTCCCGTCATCATCATCCTCGTCACCATCATCATCACCATCAGCGTCATCAGCATCATCAGCATCATCGTTATTATCATCATCAGCATCAGCATCAGCATCATCATCATCATCATCATCCTCATCCTCATCCTCATCCTCATCCTCATCAACATCATCATCATCATCATCATCATCATCATCATCATCATCATCGTCAGCATCATCATCGTCATCATCATCATCGTCATCATCATCATCATCACGACCGTCATCATCACCAGCATCATCACCCTTGTCGGCACACCCCTTACACGTTTCGTGGCCCCATAGGGAGCTCCACCGAAGGCCCCAGTGCCACCGCCCGCATGCGTCCACCACACCCATTTCGGCACAACCCTTCACACGTTTCGTGGCCCCATAGGGAGCTCCACCGAAGGCCCCAGTGCCACCGCCCGCATGCGTCCCCCACACACATTTCGGCACACCCCTCACAAATTTCGTGGCCCCATAGGGAGTTCCACCGAAGGCCCCAGTGCCACCGCCCGCATGCGTCCCCCACACCCAGTTCGGCACACCCCTCACACGCTTCGTGGCTTCATAGGGAGTCCCACCGAATTCCCCAGTGCCACCGCCCGCATGCGCCCCCCACACCCATTTCGGCACATCCCTCACACGTTTCGTGGCCCTATATGGAGCTCCACCGAAGGCCCCAGTGCCACCGCCCGCATGCGTCCCCCACGCCCATTTCGGCACACCCCTCACACGTTTCGTGGCCTCACAGGGAGCTCCACCGAAGGCCCCAGTGCCACCGCCCGCATGCGTTCCCCACGCCCATGTCGGCACACCCCTCACACGTCTCGTGGCCTCACATGGAGCTCCACCGAAGGCCCCAGTGCCACCGCCCGCATGCGTCCACCACACCCATGGCGGCACACCCCTTCACACGTTTCGTAGCTCCATACGGGGTTCCACCGAAGGTCCCAGTGCCACCGCCCACATGCGTCCCCCACACCCATTTCGGCACACCCATTCACACGCTTCGTGGCTCCATAGGGGGGTCCACCGAAGGCCCCAGTGCCACCGCCCGCATGCGTCCCCCACACCCATGTCCGCACACCCCTCAAACGTTTCGTGGCCGCATATGGAGCTCCACCGAAAGCCCCAGTGCCACCGCCCGCATGCGTCCCCCACACACATTTCGGCACACCCCTTCACACGTTTCGTGGTCCCATAGGGAGCTCCACCGAAGGCCCCAGTGCCACCGCCCGCATGCGTTCCCAAGACGAATTTCGGCACACCCCTCAGACGCTTCCTGGCCCCATAGGGGGC